TTTCTGTGTGCAATTTTCTTAGTATATGGTGCAAAAATATCTGGTTGGTGATAATCATCTTCATCGGATGATAAATAGTTTGTATTATATGGTGTATGTTGGTTATTTTTATTTTGTTGAAAGAATGGGTAGTTTTCAGTATAATCTTGTGTAGGTTGTGGATTATCTGGAAAATTTACTGAATTGGTCGATGTTTTCGGGAGATTCCAATAATGGGAATATACGTGATTTAAATTTTGTGTGTTTTTTCGGGGAGGTTGGTTTGTTCTTGGTTTTTGAGTATAATTATAATTGTGTTCTGCAAAGGTGTTTCTTGTGAATGGCTTTCGTGTTTTTGACTGTATTGTCATTGGTCTATACGTTTGATAATCCATATGTGAATATTTTGGAGCAACCGAAGGTTTAACGGTCGATTGTAAGGTTACTTGTGTTTGTAACGTATTTGTATTTCTTGGTGTTGTTCTAGTGAAATTAGGGTGTATTGGTGAAATAATTTGTTGTGTAGCTGTTGTTGTTTGGACGATTTCTTCATTTATGAAGTGTAATGGTGTTTGAATATCTTGTTGTGTAAGATTTTTAGTTCCATTAAATTTTTCATTATGTATGACGGTTGAATTTAAACTGTTTTTTCGCGTATCAGCTAAAAAATAAATTACAGTTCAATGGTGTTGCATCAATGGTTAAAGGTATTACTTTTACATAATCTCTGTGATAAGAGATTGTACTTATTGCTTGACTTGAGATAGCTTGTGGGTTATTTAGAAATGTAGGATGAGACCATTCAGGGTCCCAAACGTTGTCTGATTGTTCTGAAAGAGCAGTGTCGTCATTTGTATTTTGAGTTGCGAAATTTTTCCTTGCTTGTGAAATTAAATCTAAATTGTGGGTGAAATAATCTATTATAAACCATGCTAAAATCTTTTGTAAATCATGTTTAGTGTGTTGTGAAACATCATCTTTAGTGAAATTTTCTTTAATTATATTTAGAAATGTTGAAAATATTGTGATTTCATTTCGTACTTATGTATGTCTGGATGTTTTGGTTGGTGATATACTTTGAAATTCTGTTTTTTCTAAAATAGATATATAACAATATATTATTGCAAAGACTTCGTTTGTGAATATGGAGTTTGCTCTTTGTGAATTATGATATTATATACTTTTAATATACTCTATGAAAAGTTTTGAAAATTCTAATTCATTATCGTCTGCTTGAATTACATATTTGCGATGGGCTGTATTTGGTGTGCTGAATTCTATGGTATAAATTCCATGTTGTTGTGTTAGTTTACATATGTCTTTCAAATAACGTTCAATAATTTGTCTTTTGATTTTTAAATCTGGGAAATCTGCTTTGCATGGACTTATTCCTGGTTCAAACAAATTTACGAGTAAAATCTTGCAAAAATCGTGTTGTCCTCTATCATGGAGTGAATCTATAAGAAAGGGATAAACTGCTTCGTCATCTGGACTATCGTCACTTTGAGTGTGGCTCATTTTTCCGTTTGATGACTGTTAATATATAACTATCAATATCTAAATGCTGGCTTCTGATTCAGAAAATGCGTTTCTATTTTTTGAAAATCTTTTTGTGTGATTTGTCTTTGTTTGTTTATAATTTTCCTTTTTTTTGTTTGTCGTTTTGTTCTAATGTATCCAACTGTTTGTGTATGAGGTGTAATTACAAGATCGTATTTTTTGTTATCTATTTCACAGTTGTGTAAAACGATTGTTTGTTTATTTCCTAAATTTTTGAATGACATAAGGTTTAGGATGAGGGATGCAAGAAGTTGTTAGTTATTTCTATTTCCTTAGACTGTTAGTCCTTACGATTTTTTGGTTAGCTTAACCTGAGTCTTTTTGTTCAGGGTTGGAGAGAAAAAAATATCGATTCCGAAGAATGATTTTTTACTTTCTCGTGGCTAGTCTAAGCTAAGGTGTTAACTTACTCAATCTTACTTAGGGATAGTGATTGTGTTCAAGGGTTGGAGAATAGTAAATCGATCCACAAGGTTCAGGTATAATCAGAACGCAAGTAATTCGTTAGATACTATTTTAAACTTACTAAGTCTAAGATCTATCCTGGGTCTGGTAAGAGGAGGGTTCAAGAGAAGGATGAACAACCGAAGTTCTTCACTGTTTATCCTAATTTGAATGGTTAGTTTTATTGAAAAATTTCTTTTAGTCCTGGGTCTTTTAGAAGGGTTGGATAGTGAATCGACGTTTGAGGTACTTCTAGAAGTGACGACTGAGACACTTCAAAGTGAGTGGGAGAGAACAAAATTGTTCTTTTTGATCCAAGGATAGGCCTTGATGATCAGGTTTTAAATTTCGTGAAATAGAAAATTTATTAAGATCCAAGGATAAGCCTTGATAATCAGATTTTTAAAATTAAGTGAATTTAAGTTTAAAATGGTTTAAATTTATTTAAGAAAAAGATTTAGTTCTTCAATGAAATTAGTGAGCTTATGATTGCTTTTATGAAGCTGGAACAACCGGATGATTTATGATTACTAACAATTTATTGTCATGCTACTAAATTTTATTTTTATTTTTAATAAATTTTTTTCAAATATGTTTTTTAAAATAATGCAGAAAAAAAAAAGAAAACGATCTGAGATCTTTTTATCAATCTTTATTGTACATTAATAATTTTGTTTAGCGCCTGAAATGATCATGAAGGTTTACTTCAAAGTTTTTTGTTTGCAAATGAAAATCTAAATTCATTGCTAATAAGATTCTAAATACAAAAGTTTGTGTTGGCTTTTGCCGTACAACCATAAAACTAAATGGTAAGTTTCTACTTTGTCGTATGTCGTCTCTTGTCCCAGATCTTCTTCCAATTCCGGGTAGTTCTAGTATCGTTCGGAATATCGGCTCTGATCTATTGAGTCGTAGAGACATTTCAATTAAATTATTATCGTGTAACATTTTGAAAATGTTTTGTCTAAATTCTAATCTATATTTGGTTAGTTCTAAGCTATTAAGGTCTTATTCGAGACTTATGGTCGCGCCAGATGAGTCAGGATCGATGTGGTTAACTCATAGAGTAATTTCGGATAGGGTACACCGACTGCTCGTCACGCTATCTTATTTTCGGCCGGATAGATTCGTGCCTAATACCGATAAAACTTCGTGCCTGATAAACTTCTTAGTCTAATACCGATCATAATCTTACTCTTACACTTACTAGTCTCAGGATGTTTATCTAGTCTCTGCTAGGCTCTATAGATCTAGGGTATACTGGTTTATTGCGGCTGCTGAAGTTCTCTTGGAGAGTCAACTAATTTCTAAGTTAAATTCAAATCTCTCTGGTGCTGAAATTACAAGTAATTTCAGCACTTACAAATAAGTGGGTTGTTAGTTAGATGGATAGTGATTGGTTAATATTAAATATTTTACAGTGGTAAAATATCCAATTTATCCAATTATAATCTGTAGTTTAGATCAGGTTCCAAAAAATACTAGAAAAACGAAAACGAAAGCAATAAAAAAATCCGTTTTTTGAACTTTTTTTGCAGGATTTGTTTTGAACATTTTATTCCAAAAAGGGGCTGAAAAATTTCTAAAATTCTTTTCCACTGGAGTGAAAGTAAAATTTAATGGCATTCATAAGCCTGTTTGGTTGCTTTAATTGATCGAAATTAGATAAAAAGTCAAAAATTTCAACAAAAGTCTCTTTTTTTCTCGACACTGGGACAACTTTCAAGAAAATCTTTCTTGTAAATCGAATCAAGATCGAAAGGTTTTGATATGATAATTCACTCCACTCATTACTTTGATAATTTGCGACCAATACTTTTGGTTGAAAGCAAAATCACTCGAATTTAGACCAAAAATGAAAACTTTCCAACGTGTTTTTTTTTACACTGAGAAACTTTATAATTTTGTTCAAATCATGATTGCAAAAGCTATAATACGAAATATTAAAACCCAATGATTTTTCTGCTGCCTGATTTTGCATAGAAAACAACACAAAAAAAGAGAATTTTTTTTAAAAACTGGAAACAAATTCGAATTCCTCCTCAATTTCAAATGTCGGAACAATAAAGTTCTTTTCGAATCTTCTTTGGTTTTAAGCCGTTTTAGAAAAAAGCCAAAATCATTTTCAAAAACTTTAAAGCATAAGAGTGCGAAGTGTTCGCTTGCTGGAGGCTAATTCGCAGCAAAAAATTTTCTGAAGCTCTTCAATTGGTAAGTTTGGCGCTGAAATATCAAGGATACTTGTTTCCAATGCCTTAGCAAGCATTTTCCAATTAAACGATTTTTTTTGCAAATTTTTCTCTTTAATTATTTTGGTTTTCTGTGTCTATCGAAAGTTTACATTCGAGTCGATTAAAAATATATACAAACTAAAACCGATAAGACTTTTAAAAGAAGAACACATTAATAATCAAATTTGCGATAAAAATTTAGTAAGAAAACGGGTTGATCATACACCGATCGCCATCGCTGTTTATTGTCAGAGTTATTTCTTTTGAGATTTGATTAAAATCAAACTAAAATTTTAGCCAGAGATTTATTGTTCTGAATTTACAAACGAAAGTGCTCGGGTGGTTTTTTTAGACAAATTTAGACTTTTTAACAAGCTTTTGTGGACAGTTTTTTTTATATCATCTGAAAAGTATTGATGTCTTGAGCTCAATGAGATCTTTTTTCATAGAGTTATAGTGTCTTAAACATTATCATTTTGGCCAATTTGAGACAATTAACCGCGTTAGAAATAGCGTTAATTACGGGTAAGCGGACATCCGTCTTAGAAAAGGTTTCAAGTTGGTTGGAGGAAGCTGATTTGCAATAAATGATATGTTAATAGAGCGAAACTGATCAAACAACAAAACTAACAAATTTTTCTGTTCCTTGCGTGTGCTCATTTGTTTTCTAGTGCACTCGTTAATTACCTTAAATTTGTAGATAAACTGGTTTTATTAACTTAAAAATTTATACAATATCTGTAGTTACAGTGCTTAAAACGGAATAAAACGTGTTGATGAAATTACCTTGTCAATTTGGTCTGTTTCAACGCACTCTTGTAGCTTCGCTTCAATTTCACTGTCATCACAGACATCTCCGAGCAATTGTTTTATGTACCCCTCTTCAAAGCTCAGTGGAGTATTTTTGTCGGTTGCAACAACCTGCATTGTTTGCTTTGCGTCCTGAGTCTTGTCACCTCCGGCGTATACTTCTTTCAGAGCAATATGACCCAAATTGTCTTCATTTTTATCCAGTTGCTTTAAAATTGCCTCACTCACATTATGCGGTTGAACGTCTCCGTTTGGAAGTTGCGAGCACCCAGTTCTTTCATTTATTTCAAGGTCATAGTCTTCGGGCTCGTTTTCAACAAAAACGACTGGAGCATCAATTGAGCAAACATCCTTCACGCACTTTTTGATTTCTTTTCTCTTGTCTTCCCATTTCTTTTTACCCAGACCCATTATATGGGTAATAACTATAACCAAGTTTGGGAATTTTCTGTCAATAATATTGAGAGTTCCAATAGATCGAATTGTTTTACTGAGCTTGCTGTTTTTGCCAACAAACCGATTATCAGAACCTTTTATTAGTAGCAGGATCATGTTCGGATATTTACCCACACCCAAAGACCCCTCGACGTACTTTTGGATCGCTCGGACGTTTCTGGCATCTTGTCCTACTCCTTCAGTATCACACATACCTGGTGTATCCACGATACTGACCTGCATATCAGATATTTTGTGCCTTGGCAGCTCGACATTAAGAGTGAACTCAGTCGCCGCTTTGGTTTCAGACTCTGTCTTGGATGTTCTGCACAACTTCAAACCAAACACATGATTGGTCAGCGAAGACTTTCCAACACCACTCTCTCCTGTAATATGAATTAAACTTTTAATTTTTTTGCCATAACATACTGAAAACAACATATTTTCAATCGGGGGCGGATCCAGGATTTTGTCGAGGGGGGCGTATTTTCAAAAAATTTTAAACAATTTTGTCAACTTTTTTCATGTCGATCAATTTGATTTTCCGAGCTGTGCCAAGGCACTAAAAAGACCTTGGTTGGGCTAAAGTTTATGCGCCGCAGACACAGTTTTGAAAAAGCAGGACAGAAAAAACATTTTTTGTCACTTTTTGGAAAAATTTGAGAAAAAAATTGCGTTTTTTCGGCGCGCGCTCCCGCTTTTAGAAAACTTATGGTGTCCGTCAGCTAAAATGGATATCTCATAATAGTTCAAATGGGGACCCATTGGGTCGGCAGGGGGTCGAATTCCTGAAAGGGAAAGCCTCCGGCTCCTTCCCCCCCCCCCCCCCCCTTAATCCGCCCCTGCTTTAATTGAGTTTTGGAATGAGGAGATAAAAAAGCAACTTTTTGGCAAAATTCCTTTCACTTTTGAAAAAATTGTGGAAACAAAGAAAGCGTTGTTTTTGGTAAAGACATACCTATGATTAAACTAAAGATTCTCATCTTCAATCACAAAAAAGTCATTATTTTGAAAGATAACAATTTGTTGGCTCCCGGGTCAAAATTTGCGGTTCATTTTTTGAAAATTTGGTCGCGCCAATGTTAATTCCGCAACCGAAAATCAATGTTTTGGATATAGTTTTAAGACACGTACTAAGCCTGAACGTTCCTTCCCTCGGTCGCGACGATCGCAAAATAAGTCGCGTGCTGGTAAAAAAACAAGTCGCGGCATGGTCGGAAAAAAATTACGGAACGTTCAAAAAATGAATCATGAGATAGATATGGTTGAAACACCAGTCGCAGCATGGTCGAAAAATAGGTCGCGAAACAGTCGAAAATTAGGTCACTGCATCATTGAAACAAATTCACAAATATTTGATCGTTCAAATAAGTAACACAATTTAGATAACCATTACTGTTTTATAAGAGAACTGAGAACTGAGTTATATAGGAGATAACTGATTCTTTTTTATCAATAAATCTTAAGGGTAGCCTGAATTAACTTTTGAAGCATTCAGTCAATTTGTTTTAACCACAACTTCTGTAATTAGCTAGTTTAAAGACTTGCTAAAGCATGTGCACTTAGTTATCTGGTTGCATTTTGTTTCATAGTAATTAAAACATTTAAGCAGGAGCAGGTAAAGTGCTATTTAAGCATGACCTAACAGAAGTCCCAATTATTTGGGTTTCCAGTCGAGTTATTGTCATAAACACAATTGCCGATAGCTCATCTCATAAAACTACCTAACACTAGACAAAGGGAGGCAAAAAACTTCTGCTTTCCGAACGTTTCAATACAGTCAAATATGTTATAATTGAAGCAATTTTAGTTCAGACGATTTTTAAAAAATCATTCACCTTGCTGGAAATTTTGATGAGAACATAAGCTATGTAATCCGCTTAACTCCAATTTTTTGGTCAAATCGGTTGTACATAATTTTATTCAAAAAGTTGATTCGTAATGGATGATGGGGCTAAACATGACCGAACCTTACCAATGAGTTTTATCGAGCAGAGCACTATAAAATTCTGTTTTTTTTTCTAAAAAAAAATGTTTTTAGAAAATGGACAACTGACGCGTGGTTCAAATGACAAAACCAGATCAGTTAGCGGAAAAGGACTTCACGGGAGCAAATGATCAAGGATATTGTGACCCGACAGCACGTACAATAGGTTCAATTGAATAGTTCAAAACTCTCAAATAGTAGCCAGATTGTTAAAATTCACGATACGCTTTTTTTCTTAAAACTCCTTGAAAAGAAAGAAACACTGAAGGACACACTCCACTGAGGTTTTCATCTAAAAACGCCGAAGGCATCAAATGTTCTCATTTTACCTTTGAAGCCTTTTAAGTGGAAAGAAAAAAGGATAAAAAGACAATAACCGAAAAAGTTCAAAACAAACAATGAAAATTAAAGCAATGTCAAAGAACAGAAAAGAAGTCAGATTATCACAATTGGGAATGATGGAATCCACTTACTAGTTATGACATTTTTTCGATTATTCATTCTGACACTGATTTAGAAACCTGAAAGTTGTCTATACTGTCCAACTAAATTTCCTTGAATTGTTACTATCCGAATAGAAGACACATAAATTACACAATCTAGAAACAGCAAAAATACTGCAATCACTAGATTTATTAGCGAATTCCCAGTTGTTAAATTTTACTTTTCAAAAGAAAAATCAAATTTTGTAGAATTTTCTAAGAGGTTACAGAATTTTTTAAATGATTTCACAGATGTACAAAAATTTCCCTTTAGAAGTAGCTGAAGATAAAAGATGCTAACAAAGATCCCTATTTTAGTTCAAGTACACATCATTGACCCCTTGTCAAGAAGATTCTACACGTGAGACATCCCGGATATATTATTTCGAATAAACAGAATATCGTTCCCCTGATTTTTCAGAAAAATTAGATTCAGTTTAGTCCATATAATATATCAAATATTTAACCTAATATGATTGTCGTAGTAACTTTTCGAAAATCGACTACCCCATGTTCATTTCTTATTTGATCAATTTCTTATTCACGAACAAAAACACATGCGAACTTCACGCTTCTTTTTAGCATTTATATTTTTGGAATTTGCTCAACCTCAAAACGCATAATACTATTGGAAGTTTTCTCAAAAGTGTACAATCTTACATTAAATTCACGACCAATTAGTCATCATGAACAAAATTTATCCTTAACAACATCACCCGAACAATTAGAAAAGTAGCCAAAATCACGAAACACAAACTCAAAGCCACGATGTAATCCGTTACAACGAAACTGGGCAGGTGATATAACATGTATAACCCCACAGCAAATAGAACAACAGTACAAACAAATTAAAGAACAACTTCATACTCGATATTTTCGTTCCCGTAACGACAATAATTTTCAACCATCATAAACAAGTAGGCAGAAATCCTACGACGTCATCAAGTTTCTCTTTTTTCCACCTCATTCTCAACCAGCTTTTTTCCACACTCTCTGAATTAAGCACTTCCAAGGACGTGTGTGAACTCAAAAAATCCATATTCACCAATCTCAAGAAATCTCCACATTCATAGAATTTACGGATTTGCCCTCAAGCCCACAATTTTTTTTTTGATAATCTTTCTATGTTTAAATCAAAAAACGTCCTACTTCTACAACTCTAGAAAAACCCACCAGTCCTGTTTTTGTTAAAAATGACTTCGACCTTATCACCAACCAAGCCGCCTCCGATTCCCATGATAAATTGGATATAGCTTTAAGACACGTACAAAGCCTGAACGTTCCTTACCTCGGTCGCGACGATCGCAAAATAAGTCGCGTGCTGGTAAAAAACAAGTCGCGGCATGATCGGAAAAAAACTACGGAACGTTCAAAAAATGAAACATGAGATAGTGAAAAACTTAGGTGCAATATGGTTGAAACACCATTTGCAGCATGGTCGAAAAATAGGTCGCGGAATAGTCGAAAATTAGGTCACTGCATCATTGAAACAAATTCACAAATATTTTGATCGTTCAAATAAGTAACACCATTTAGATAACCATTACTAGTTTATAAGAGAACTGAGAACTGAGTTATATAGGAGATAACTGATTCGTTTTTTATCAATAAATCTTAAGGGTAGCCTGAATTAATTTTTGAAGCATTCAGTCAATTTGTTTTAACCACAACTTCTGTAATTAGCTAGTTTAAAGACTTGCTAAAGCATGTGCAATTAATTATCTGGTTGCATTTTGTTTCATAGTAATTAAAACATTTAAGCAGGAGCAGGTAAAGTGCTATTTATGCATGAACTAACAAAAGTCCCAATTATTTGGGTTTCCAGTCTTTATGTTCGAGTTATTGTCATAAACAAAATTGCCGATAGCTCATCGCATAGAACTACCTAACACTAGACAAAGAAAGGCAAAAAACTTCTGCTTTCCGAACGTTTCAATACAGTCAAATATGTTATAATTGAAGCAATTTTAGTTCAGACGATTTTTAAAAAATCATTCACCTTGCTGAAAATTTTGATGAGAACATAAACTATGAAATCCGCTTAACTCCAATTTTTTGGTCACATCGGTTGGTCATAATTTTATTCAAAAAGTTGATTCGTAATGGATGATGGGGCTAAACATGACCGAACCTTACCAATGCGTTTTATCGAGCAGAGCACTATGAAATTCTGTTCTTTTTTCTAAAAAAAATATTTTTAGAAAATGGACATTTGACACGTGGTTCAAATGACAAAACCAGATCTGTTGGCGGAAAAGGACTTCACGGGAGAAAATGATCAAGGATATTGTGACCCGACAGCACGTACAATAGGTTCAATTGAAGAGTTCAAAACGCTCAAATAGTAGCCAGATTGTTAAAAATCACGATACGCTTTTTTTTCTTAAAACTCCTTGAAAAGAAAGAAACACTGAAGGACAGACTCCACTGAGGTTTTCATCTAAGCACGCCGAAGCCATCAAATGTTCTCATTTTACCTTTGAAGCCTCATAAGTGGAAAGAAAAAA